TCATGTGTTGTGTCAAGGCCGAGCCGTGTCAATTGTCCTCGAGCCCCAATTTCCCAAAAATTTGTGTGCTGGCCCCCAGACCCCCTTTTAGCCCTACTTCTACGCCCTTCTGTACCGCCCACAAACAATTTCTAGATCCGCCCATGACTAGTTCTGCACCAGACAGAAAACTGTCACATTTTTTACCTTCAAAATCGTATGTAGAAAGTGATTCTCACGACAGCAGTTCAAGCATACGAACAGTTCAAAAATCAACTCCTGAACGATATCATCAATCTTTTCAACTCATATCAAAAGGAAGCAAGATTATATTAATGACGTCATTTGTATTTTTGACCTTGTTATTAATGAGCTTTTATACGTTTCTTGTATGTCAAGCTCCAGACCGTTCGTTTTATGATTAGTTCGTGACACGTTGAGAAGAAAACATGGTGTGTAGTGCTTAAATTCATTCTTTGTCTAGATGCACGCCTTCAATTTTGCAAATGCAACACATACATCCATCAAGCACGAATAGTTGTATCTCTGTGCCGTCATCAACGCGGGTCTTTTCCCTTGCTCTTCTTGTATATTGTTTGTCGTTTGTTTGTCATATTTCTAGTAATGCTTCCAGGGATATTCTGAAGTCCATTAACGACCGTATACAAAAAAACTCGTCGGAACCAACACAAATGTTAAAATTTTGTGAAGTTTATTGGTCAGCGTTATTCATAGTAATGTTGTGCTGGAGCAAGACTGAACATCTTCTTTTTCTCATAATCATGTGTAGTAATTAGCGCTCAATTGAAACCGCTCCATTTTTTGTAGTCTTGTAGCAAGTGAAAGTGTCATTAAAAATGTATCACTTTCTGTTACAATTGTATTTTTAAAAAATTCTTTATGGATGACAATAAATCCTCTCGACATACCAGAATGTTTTAAATGATGGCAGGACTTCCTAATTACACATTAGAAAGGAAAGTTGGATGAGTTCATACTGCTTACCAAGATTGGTGTTATGCACCAGCATAATTGGAACCTTACAGAAATTTATTGAAGTTGTTCTGAACTATTTGCTGCTGCAAAAATAAGTTTGAGTGCAACTCCGATTTCTTTGCTGTGGAGTTCCAATTGGACGTATTTGTGCTAAAAAGAACTATGTTCCACGCAAATCCCATGCACATAGTTCTTTTTGGCATAAATGCGTCAAATTAATCGGCGATGAGCAACAATCTTGTTAGTTATATCAAAAGCATTCAAACCTTTTTTTCTAGCGATGATCACAAACATCAATGTAGCAGTTTTTACCTTAATGTTTACGGAGTTAATGTTACAGTTTTAATCGACATGTTGTGTAGCGCGTAATTTTTAATTAATATCAGATTTACAATTTTATCTTTTACATTTTCTATTATTCCTCATTTTTCCCGACCTATATGTAGAAAAATCACGGCATTCAACTTATAAAAAAAGAAACCCCTTCAAAGGTTTGAATTGGAGAAATCCATCGTAAAATTATAACTTTTAATACTTTTAAGTGGCACAAACTGATTGCGGTGGACGCTCGGGCCATAAGACAGTATTGTTGGAGTTTTTTTTTGCCAATGTGCGTTGAAAATTCAGCATAAAGCTGAAAATCTCAATACGGAGGGAAAAAACTCATTAGAGCACAGTTTTCCCTTAAAGAGATATGCTGTTTTGTATTACATCAGTTAAGTCCATTCAGGAAGGCAACTGCAGGCGCGTTTCGTGAGACGCGTGAGATTTTCAGCTGTATGCTGAATTTTTAACGCACGTTGGCAAAAAACTCCAACAATACTGACTTTTAAGTGGACTGATAAATATAGAAAATATTTGGTGAAAACTGGTAATAACCTGGACTGGAAGGTCACAATTTTAAAAGAGGGTTTTCCCTCACTGCGATGATAGCACCCCGTTCGCTGTGACCATTCCTGTCATCAATTCATAATGTACGAATCAAAGGAGGCGGTCGCTGCCTCCCTGAGAAGGGATCTGCCATTCTCACAGGGACAGTATCGATTTAGTGGGCGGGGCCCGTGCATTCGGTGGGCTGGACCCGGCAAGCCTGAGAAGGGGAGAGAGGGGTAGGGGTTGGTCGGATACTCCTCCAAGTGTGCATTATCTTTCGAAACACTCAAAGCTTAACGACCTGCAGGTAATTGGGTGCGTAAGTGAGAAATCTTATCGAGTTTGCCCCCTGGAAAATGAAATATTTAGCGTGACGGGAAAATTATACTTTACTTCAATTTTATGTCAACATTATTTGTAGTAAAAAATTCATTTTAAAAACACTCATATTTTAGAGGGAAGAAACTCTCGGTATATGTATCAGCGCGTCTGACTCCAAGTCAACAGGGCCCGGGTTCGAATCCAGGTAGTGGCACCAAATTTTCAAAGTCTTTCAAACATTTCTTTGTGAGAGATACGTATAGAGATGACTAAAGAGCGAAATCACGTATCTCCATCGCGGTTTTTCAAAATTTCCGCTCCTCTTTCACTTTTTCGAAGTGAAAGGAGACAACCTTATACCTTGAAATTTTAAAAAAAAAACATTCTTCTAACATAGATCTATGTAGTTAACGTAATTTCTTGAGAACTCCCTTCTTTGTTCCAAAGGAACAAAGAAAGTTGTTCCCTTCTTTGTTTGGGAACAAAGAAGGGAGCTCTCAAGAAATTACGTTAACTATTTTTCCAATGATAAAATGGACGTATTTATGCTAAATGGAAGTATGTGCAAGTGGAAAGATGGGGTGTGCTCGTTAGTGTTCGGGCCATAAGAATGAATGGGGATTGCTCGGCTTTAACTCATGAGCCCTGTTTACCACGCTCTTGCCACATGTCATGGCTCACTAGTCAGCGCTCAGCTCCTTTTGATTTAATTGAAAATCCCGCTTTTCCATTTTGTCAAAAGGAACTAAAACCACTGACCACATTGTTTCTTATCCAGCGTCCACGAGCACACCCCATCTTTCCACTTGCGCATAATTCCTTCTAGCATAAATACGTCGAAATAAAGTACAGCAAGAAATCTGCAATGCCGCAAACGGAGATGCGCCGTTTCGCGTGTTAGCTATCCTGCCGTGCTAAAGAAAAAAGCCGCATGAACCTTCAGGCGTTGCCAAATTCCCTATCATGAAACGCGAATTTCCTGGTGCGTTTATGAATATTTTCCTCCCATTTTTTCAGATACTTTAGTTCGCAATTTCCCCCAAAGTTCCTGAAAATTTCAAGGAAAAATGTTCATATTTTTTCTCAAAAATAAACATTTTATCGAAGGATATTTGGCAACTCTCGAATGCTCATACGGCGTTCTTCCTTAGCACGGCAGCATTGACCAGCGGGCCGATTATTGAAACTGATAGACAAAGCTATAGACAAAAACGACAAAAGGGATTTGGAGGGATCCTATTGGTGGAAACGGGTGGTTGCAATGGACAAAGGAGGTAGGTAATAGACTAACTAACGGCAACCCACGAGAGACCCGACAGTTAGTCTATCATTTTCCCCCTTAGTCTATGAGAACCAACTATGTCAACCAATAGGATCGCTCCATACTCCCTATGTCATCTTTTTCTATCGCTTTGTCTATCAGTTTCAATAATCGCCCCGCTGCTTTTAAAAGCAGCTTCTCACACATCCACCGAGTCGAATGAAGAAAACCGCAAAGGAAAAGGGGCGGATTAGACGATGCGTTAAACTGATATTCGAGCCGGAATTCAATTTATAATTCGAGTCTAATTAGGGTACTTATCGGGGCGTTAGGGACGCGTGCCCGGAGGGAGGGGCAGGGGCACTCGCATGAATAACTAAACCACCAGATTGTCCCTTATTGCGGAGCCCTCGTCCTCTTGACTTCCGCTAATCCATTGCGACTCTGTCAACCCCACTCCGAAATCCCGACGTCCCTTCCGCACATAGTTGCCAGATCTCGCTGAAAATCAACTCATACCTATTAAACTCGATGTAAAAATGCTGATTTTCAGCACTATTTGACAAGCATGCTTCCTCTATGCTGAGTGGTAGCCACGGCAGTGGCGCGGCGAGAATGATCGACTGTCGATGTTTTCTCAATTGAATCCGTAGTAAAGAATCGATTATTGAGGTGCTCGCTGCGAACACCCTTGTAATCGATCGTTTTCCATAGGTTTCAATGACAAATCAATCGATATATCGCACAACACGCCACGCCACTGAGCCACGGGCTTATTGATTTTCGACTGGTTAGCGAATGATCCCGATCGATAGAAAGCATTGGTCACTGAAAAAAATATGGTAGATTATACCATACTCTGACACAGTGATACAAGCATGGTAATAAACACCAGACTCTACGGTAACATTTACCATATTATGGTAAGCATCGCCAGAGTTCTGTTGAATGCTACTATAATTCTGGCAATTTCACTGAATAATATCACTGTGTAAAAAAGCAAGTATTCTTGTAGTAGATGAAAGTATTCTTGTAGTAGATGATACCATACTTTTTTCAGTGATTTATCGATTGAGGTCGAAGTTAGTACACGCAAAAATCAGCAAAATAAAGGGGGGGGGGCGCGCAAAAATATTCGTATCAAAATGTGGATTCTATTCATCCATTTTGCAACCTTGAATGAAATCCCTTTAAGGGCATGACTTTTGAATAATGAAGGACTACATTAAACAAATTTTCTTTAACTTTCATTTTTTGTTTTTACCGCAGTGAATAGGTGCGTGGTTGCGTAAATAACATATATCGATGGCTATAGTGCGGAACCACTTATCACCAAAAATTAGCAAAATTAAGGGGGAAATTGCGCAGAAATATTCTTGTAAAAATTTGGATTTTATTCATCAATTATGCAACCTTAAGTGGAGTTCCTTTACGGAGCTGATTCTAAACAATGAAGTACTACATTGAAACAAATTTTCCTAAATTTTCATTTTTTCTTTTCACAGAAAATAAATTTCTTTCTTTTCTTTTCTTTTTTTTCGCATGGTTGCGTAAATAATTAATGGCCAAAGTGCGAAACCGCGTGTCCTTACAAATCAGCAAAATTAATGGGGAAAATTGAGCAGAAATATTCTTGTAAAAATTTGGACTCCATTCATCAATTTTGCAACTTAAATGGAGTCCTAGTAAAGAGATGACTTTTGAATAATGAAATGCTACATTGTATCAAATTTTCTTAAAACCTCACTTTTTGTTTTGCGCAATAGTGCTGCGGTGCGTGGTTGCGTGAGAGATTCAGATTGATGGCTAAAGTGCAAAACCACGTAACTCTATCGCGTGACTATTGTGAAATTGCGAATTTTGCCGTACCTCGACTTCTTCTGCGATGGTGAATAAATATTTCCAACACAGCCTTAATTTTTCTTATACAATAATTGATTAATTAATTAACAAGTAAGTAATTTTTCTTAGTATAGCCCGGGAAAGTCAGAACGGAGGTGTCTCCAAAATTCGGTTCTATCCGGATATGGATTTTGTCGCTCAGTGAATTCCTTGTCTAAATACTCGTAAGTGAAATTCTGCTCTGATCCCACAGTATTCCACGTCACATTCTCCTGGGTGGGTCCCCTAAAACGCAAAGTTCATGGATAAGATTTCAGGATGAGATATTATCTGAAATTTTCAAATAATTTTTTTGCATTTACACAAGAACACACTCTTTTTAGCGGGCTGACTTTTGAAATTCAATTGGAATTCAGTCCCGTTGATTCTGCGACTGAGTACAGGGGAGAATTTCATGATCGCCACCGCCCGCGGCGCACTATGGTCCAAAACTCAAGAATAGGAAGAAATAAGTCGGATAATGACTGAAAGATTACGGAAGTTTCGTAATTGTTGTTTTTTTGAGTCGCTGATCTCGAATTTGATGTCAAACTGCCTACATTTTAACACCCTGAACTATTAATAGTAGGCAAGTTTATGGCACGCTGCGGCGCGGCTTGCTGCCGCATGCTGGCAGCTCAAAGTTCACACTGACGCCTACAAACCTAAAGGGATACTTCAAGCATTGCGCAATGCGTGAAGTAGTCCTTTAGGTTTGTAGGCGTCAGTGCGCGTTTTGCGCTGGCAGCACGCCACGGCGCTCCTGACGTGGGCGGGTGGTGAACTATTGCGGGGAGAGCTTCCTGGCCGAGAAAATTGCATGTCGTGTAATTTTTTTTTTTTTTTTTTTTTTTTTTTTTTTTTTTTTTTTTTTTAAGTGAACTCTCAACGCTAGATGAATGAAGGCAGGTCGTGTGCCATGCGCACTGCGAAAAGCGCGGCGCGGCGTAGCGCAGGGCGGCTCATGAAATTCTCTCCTGTGCTCTGTCGTTGATTCTGCATAAATCCGTCTAAATTGGTGCAGAAGATATAGCTACAGTGAGTAGGTCGGAGCGGCTAACGGATGCAACGCGAAGTTAAGGTGATTCGACGGTTTTCATTTTTTGCGTCAGAGCGACGTGCGACTTATCGCATCAATTTGTTCCATAATTTCAGCTACCTGTCATTTTTGTCAATTTTAAGATCGCACTTCTATTGTCATGAGACTAAAAAATTTATGTGCCTTTGACAAAGAAATTCAAAGTAACAAAAGCCGGGTTTTTTAGGGGGAAAATATCGCATTCGATACTGATATCGAAACAGCTCTCGAATGCGTTATTTTCCCTCTGAAGAATCCCTGCCTTTATTACGTTGAATTTGTTTCTCTTTGGTACATGAATTTTTTAGTCTCATGACAATAGAAGTGCAATCTGAAAATTCGAAAAAAATGACAGGTAGCTGAAATTATGGTTCATAAATGCGATATATCGCACGTCGCTCTGACACAAAAAATGGCAACCGTCGAATCACCTTAATAAGTAACACTGCACGCAACTATTGTTACTCGATGGAAACGCGTATTGCATATACAAAAAGCTGAGGGCATTTTAGCTTTCTTTTTGAGTATCCAGACGAGATTGAAAGTGACGCGAGAAACAAGAGTATCAAGCAGCGCTCAAGACCGGACTTTTCGGAATTCGTTTTTTTTTGGGGACGCGCGCTCAAAACAAGACTTTTCGGAATTTTTTGGGGGTGTTTCCAGGGCGCATTGGGAGAAACTAACAAATAGTCCTAATGGATTCATCCAAAGAGTTCCTACAAATTGTTTCAGCCCGATCGAAGACGGCAGCTTTGAAAGTTCCCCTTATTAGTCCCATTTCATCAAAATCAATCGATGTATTGGCGATCAATCAATGTACTCCATGTATTGATGCTTGATGACTCATTTTCGATAGCATATTTTGTTTTTTGCCAAGTCTGGTAGTCTAGACGTCAAATAACTACGACAAATATATTTTTTAGTATCATTCAATTAAGGTCAGGGTTCTTAGTGAACTCGGGAAACCGGGAAACTTAAGACACCGGAAAAAATACTTCATTGCAATACCGAATGCCGAAAACTTTGTTTAAGCGACCTGTGTGCCAAATTTTTTGTTTTCTTTCTTTGTGCAAAACGGGATAAATCAGCAAAAATATTGTAAAATAGTAGAGAGGAAATATGGAATTTTTAGTACACTTTAAACGTTGTCACTAAAACACTTACTCAAAGATTAGGAAACTAGTGAAGAGGTCGACAAGTCTCTCTGAAACATCTACTTCAGTCTGGGTGTCTGTTGACCGATTAAAGTATTTAGAAGTTTCAAAGAAGTTTAGCAAGATGTCTGAATGGCCAGGTTTCTCTGCAGGAAATTAAGAAATAAGTATTTTATTAATCACAAAACTTCAATCGTTGCAAATGTACATTTTTTGGTTTTCACAATCTTGATTACAGTTGAGGACAATCTTCCTCTTAACTTTGAAAAAATGAAATCGAGTAAATAAAAAATAATTCTGCCCGAACTGCATCAATATATGTATTCTAACAAATTTAGCACTGAAAAGAAAAGCATGTTCTGAAAGATCTTAGTTGCGTACCTATCTCATCGCCAGGTCGTCACCTTCCGGCCAAAGTATCACCAGCTCCATGTGAAGATTCAAAATATCTGCTGCCAACGAACTTTTTTACTCAGAAAATTGTTCAACAAAGCTGTCCGAAAATTTCACTGAATTTTCTACGTGCTGACGATAAAATTCAGTGAAATATTCGAACAAGTTCAACCAATAATTTTTCCATAAAAAAATAAAATGGCGGCGGAAATTTTGATATGTCGCATGGCGCTTGTGATACTTTGGCCGGAAGATGACGAGGTGATTCTATGAAGCAGCAGAATGTATGCCTTCAACTGCCATTCCTTGAATGAATAAATAAAACAGTACTGAAAAGGGCACGTTGGCCACACCTATAGTTCATGGTTTTGCATATGAGAATTTAGTGCGCAAATCAGTGTTCGAAACTCATCTTTGAGTTTAAGGGGCCATGTGGCGCATCAAGCCCGATTTTTGACGCCATTGAAGATTTTTTAGGGGCCAGATTGACTTTCTGCCTATGTATTACGGCGCATTTAGTGGAAAGTTAGACGCAAGATGTTTTCGCAACAAAACTAGTAAGTACGCTTTCTAAAGTTGGCTGCAGGTGCTTGACACAAAGCCATTAAACAACAGAAAAAAAAGAAAGAAAAAACTAGTAAGTAGCTGTAACTTGAGGAAGACAAAAGCACTAAGAATGAAATCGTGAAGAATAGAAACAGCCTTCACTTGTTGTGCACTGGAAAAAAAACAAAAAAAACAAAATGGATCTAGAGTCCAGACTCTTAAAAACATCGACAAGAAAAAATACTCTTGATTCAATCGGATTTAAACTTAAACCAAGAACCCAGCCTCTTAATCCGAGCGGATTTCCTTTTGATTTAAGCTTTAATCTGATTGAATCAAGAGTATTTTTTCTTGTCGATGTTTTCAAGAGTCTGGACTCTAATCCCAATGTGTTTTTTTCCAGTGTGCTGAAAATTCTGAGTTTTTTCAATTCAAAAAGATTTGTTTTTCTTCCTTTATGTGACTTCCTATGAAAATCTAGATTTTTAGGGGGCAATTTTTAGGGGCCACGTTGCCGCAGAGCCTTCCTTTTTTAGGCGCCATGGCATATTTTTTAGGCGCATTTGGCGCGTTGGCGCCTGTGAGTTTCGAACACTGACGCAAATATCATCGGAGGTCACGAAGAAGGGTTAAGTGCCAGGCAAAATTAATTGATGCTGAAAAGTTTAGAAAATTAGAAAATCCTGAAAATTGCTAACTCCCCCCTTCTCCCATAGGAATTTCAGGTAATATGACATTGAGACCTCCTGGATCCTCCTCTTTTAGCTACTCATCTGCGTCATTAGGGCCTTTTCATTTTTTTTCGGTGTAATTTATGTTATCAGTTACGAATGTTGCTGTGGCAATCCACACTTGAGTTTTGCAAAGTACTCCCTCTTTATTTTTCTTGCTGTTTTACCCTCACTGGAAAAACGTCTCTTGGATCCAGAGTCCAGACTTTCAAAAAATTTGACAAGACAAAATACTCTAGATTCAATCGGATTTTTGCTTGAATTGAGAACCTTTCTTAATTCAAGCGGATTTCCTTTTGATTTAAGCAAAAATCCGATTAAACCAAGAGATTTTTTTCTTGTCAATCTTTTTAAGAGTCTGGACTCTGGATCCAAGAGACTTTTATTTCCAGTGTATGTCCAGCTTATTTTTCCCTTTGTTTATTCAACTTCATCACGCGTACAGCTGCAGGCGTTTACCTGTGATAACGTCTCTTGGACCGTAGACGTTGTTCCAGGTTGAATGACGGTAAGGGAATGCATATTGGTAGGCGTATGTTGGTCCTCCGTTGAGCGGTGACGTTTGTATCACAGGCTGGTAGAAATACGCATCCGTCATCAGCTGAAATATGCAACAAAAAATAAAAACGTATGAAACAAGCTGAAAAAAAAAAGTCAACCTTAGAAAGCTTAAATCTCCGCTGGAATTTTCAATCCTTAATGATATGTGGCGACAGTATGTGACAGTAAATCCAAGTTCTCTCAAGGTTGAAATTTTTTTGTGATTTGGACACCATCTTCGCTGTTTTTTAGTTTCTTTTGCTCTCGTTATGTTCAAAAAATTTTAGAACAGCATCTCATATATTATTTTCTTCTATTCGTCATAGTAGGTGCAACTACTCTATTAGGATCACAAACAACTGGGAAAGACACACAATTTTGGCCGTGGTGATGAATAATACATCAATAGATAGTAGGTACTCATATAGTGAATATTTAATTTCAAAGAAGGTTGCAATGTTTCAAGACATTCCGTGCAGAAAAAAGCAGAGGATGCAATACTTTTTGGATAGTCAAGTTAGAGATTTTAGTCAAGTTCGAGACTTTATTTAAACATTTACTCCCAACTTGTGCCCGCCAACACTTACAATTGTGAATGACTTTTGAGTAACTTGCGGCGGGAAACCAAAGTAGAAGTCGGAAATTCTGGCCATGCATTTTGGGACGTCCTCTTCAGGTATAAACTGTGGTAGAAACAGTAGCTGCGGTAGATACCGTTCTGGATTAGCTTTGATTTGCTCAACGAATCTCGGATACCTGTAAATTTCTGGGAACATTAAAAAATAAAAAAATAAAGAATGAGCATCGTATTGAAATCGTCACGGAAACAAACTGTTTGGGATTATTCCCTAAAATTGTGGTGTTACCCCAATTTTTTGGATGATATGGAGATTTTCAATTGATTGTGGAAGTATCGCAACTCAATTTGGGGTAGTTATCGGAGTAGTTGGGGTATCAGAGTAAGTTGGGGTAGTTGTCGAAGAATCCAATTGAAAACGTTCCTGGAAAAATTGTTTGAGGTTATCCCCCAAAATTGTGGTACCACTCCAATTTGTTGGATAATATGGAGATTTCCAATTGATTGTGGTAGTGCCGCAACTAAAGTTGGAGTAGTGTTGCAATAGTAACCTAATTTACTGGGATAAATTTAGGTCAGTTACCTGATTTACTGGGGTAGTACCACAATTGAATCAGTGCGAACGAAATCACACCAACTCGGTAATTCAAAAGTGCTCAATTTTCATTCCAGAGAGTCAATTTACATGAAGGTCTTGAAGTGAACGCATCTGTCCCAACTGGGAACCACTGTGCGGTTTTGCGTGTATCTTGATGATTTTCATTTTTTCTAGTTGGTGTGTTTTCGTTTTCACTGATTCAATTAAGTGGAAATGTTCATATCACCCAACGACCATGCTCTTTTTTTCGTGAATTCTGCTTCATCTTTAATGAAGAATAGATTTTGACGGTAGGTTATGGAACCATTTCTGACTAAAAAAACGAATGAATTAAGTATTACAAAAAAGGCTATTTGTAGAGGCTAATGAAAATAATTTAGTTTTTGAAAGTAATAATTCCTATACTGCCGCGCTAAGGAAGTACGCCGTATAAGCCTTCTGACGTTGCCAAATATCCTTTGACAAATCACGAATTTACGGATTTTATAAATATTCTTCTTCCCATTTTTCACAGAAGTTTGTTCGTAATTTGACCTACAGTTTCCTGAAAATTTCAAGGAATAATATTCATGGCTTTCTTAAAAAAAAAAAAAATCTGAGAGGAAATTTGGCAACTTGTGAAGGCTCACACGGCGTTCTTCCTCAGGGCGGCAGTATAATGGGCATACTCACCGCCGGCCAAGGGAGTACCGTCGTAAGTTGTGGCGCCGTTGATCCATGGGAACTTGGACTGAGTGAGCATCTCAGTCGGATTCGAGAGAAAGAATGGATCCGCGGTGATATTGTAGTCCAACACTGGAGCCCAAGTCATCACCAAGAACGGTGGGTAACCAGGCTGTCCAAGAAAAATTATCAAGTTTTAAACGAGAATTTTTCAAACGAATTAAAATGGTAGCAATTAACAAAGTTTACAGGTCAAATAATGCATTCATTTCTTACAAGCCGGCCCTGGTCTCGCTTCGCGAGACCCGGAGTATCGCGAGTTAACCGTTAACTTAGAAACTGATAATCTCCGCAACCGCCGTTGATTTGGATTTTTGGATTGTAAGTTCGTTATGCGGAAAAATGACAAAATATATGTGGCTTTAGATTGATGAACTATCATTGCAAAATGGTAATTGCATAATAATAGTTATACAAAGTGATTACCCTCGTAAGAGCCTAAAAAAAATACAACCATGGTAACTGAATACCATGCGCCGAAAACGTTTCCCATTCAACGAAAAATTTCCACCAAGTAAGGTTTTTTTCAGTTTTCTCGACTTTTTTTTGTTAGAGTTGGTCACTTTCCGAAACGACCTATTCATTTGAAAGTCTTGGAGGACAAGCCACTTACGTACAGTTTTTGAAAAAATTGAGATAATACCGGTTTCAAGTAAAACTGGTCTTAATGCATATTCTCTAAAAAAAATTCGCTCCCAAGTTAATTACAATTTTTAAGCATCGGAAAGTCAGTTTGAACTTTCTTTCCAACATGAGGATCCATGTGATTTCGAAACTTCAAACGCACGTATTCCTCGAAATCACAACAAATGCACTTATGCGCATTATCCTCTAAGTTCCTCATGACTGTTTATTTTTTGTCACTGAAGAAAAACTGCAGGTTGTGGAAGCCGTAGTTACAGGCTACAGCACTGACGTCCGTTTGCGGGCTCATGGACTCGGAGTTCCGGGTGCTGGAGCCGTATTTCCTATACTGCTCCGGGCACAGAGACCGGAAAAACGTATGCTTCACCCGTAACTTTGGGCCTTTTAAGAACGGACTTGACGCCCGCAGTTCTTTTTTTCAGTCTGTAGATGAGCACAAACGCTGCTTGTTTCTGAGCTCACCGGAGATGTGTTGAGCTGTTGTTCGATGAGCTCGTAGGCAGGAACCTCCTGCATGCACGCCAGAAGAGCAGAAGAATTTTCCAAAGGACAGTTGAATCTCTCGCCGAGTCGCTCTGTTGCCGAGCTTACGAACGCCACCGGCAAATGGGCGAATGGCGCAGCCACCGTCCCAGATATTGAGATCCCTTTCTGGAACAGCCCTGAAATCAAATCATCCAAGTTTTCTCAACTCTTATGTATACATTATTTTTTTACCACATTTCGAATAGCCCATCACTAAAAAAAAATTCGGTTATGCGAACCGAATGTTAGGTGTTTCATATCATCCCAAATATTCGGTTTGTCAAGCAGAACTTTTGGGTCGTGTAACCGAGCATTCGGCACATATGACCACACTCAGTTCGTTAGTTCACTGTATCGCACAAGTTTGGTTACATGACCGAAAGTTAAGTTTGACTAACCGAAAATCCGGTTTGAGGAATCGAAAATTCAGTTTGACGAACCAAATTGGTTGGGATGATTTTTTTTTTTTTTTTTTTTTTTTTTTTTTTTTTTTTTTTTTTTTATTCTTCAAATTATGTTACAGCCATCTGTTTACAAGTGTTAATTAACTTTTTTTTACAAATATAATAGCTTCTAAATTGACTGTCGTCTAATTTTTGTTTTTAACTTTTACTTGCATAACCCATTCTCACACAGCACCCAGACTACATGCATACGTCTTAAACTATGTAAGTTAAGAAAAATAAATTCAAAAACAATAGAAATAAATAGACATAATAAAAGTAGAATGAATATTGTGTAGGGTCTTTCTTGTCTTTACCAAAAATAATGCTAGGTTATTAGTCTATAATTCATTCTTTTCATTATATAATTTTGAGTTAATACACTTAAAAAACAACCAACTTTCCTTACATCTAAATTCAGACAGAAAATAGAAAAATAAATCCCAAAATTGCTACTTCCTCCCTGCACAGTGTTTAAGTGAAAACATTATTAAGTAGTGCTTGAATTAACTCTGCTTTCATGCGTTTTCCATTTCGGCAAAGGTAATTCTGACAGTTAGGTTATAAGAGACTTATTTGTTGTAAGTAACAGTAAACAAGTAAGTTTTCAAAGTGGTTCTTGAAAAATTTACCTTGTGCCGACTTAGCGAAAAATAAAGTGTGGACGCTCGCGCCACCGACACTTTCACCGAAAATGGTAACATTATAAGGATCGCCTCCATAGTCCCGGATATTCTCATTCACCCATTTCAAGGCTAAAACTTGGTCCTTCAAACCGAAATTTCCTGGTGCTTCTTTGTCACCCGAACAGTAAAACCCTGAAAAATGATCGAGAAATTGTGGAATCTCTTAATTTTGAATATCGAAACGGAGAGAATTTGTGAACGTTAGACAAGTTTCCTGGGCACAAAGCGCTTTTAATTCTAGATGATAAACCATCCGTATTTATTTTTATAGTAACAATAATTACAACGAGAATTTTAATTTATACTAAATTGTATGTTAAAAAAAAGGAAATAATATTTTCGAAAATTTTGATTATGTTTATAATTTCAATATTTCAATGCCTTGTTCGGAAGGCAATAATGTTAACTCCGTGGTCCAGGTCAATAGGTCACTAAACTTTGTGTTTTTAATTTGATATTTTGAAAGTGGTAGGTGAGTGATTTATTGCATATTTTTGGACAAAATCCCAAAATCCCGGACAAGCCCGCCTATGGCCTTGTCTCCACGAGCCGTTTCACGAGATTTGTCCCAGGGAAAAATCCCACTTATGAAGTTGGGAAAAATATTGAGTTAATCAATATTCGTCAATTGAGTTAATCAATAATCATCAATTGAGTGCAATTATTATTTTAATCCCGGTTAAATACTCGACTTTAACTAATTTATCTTCCCGCGCAAACTAGTCGCAGGACTGTATGAGCCCCGTCCCGTGGAGACGGTAACTGGGAAAAATACCACAAGTTTCATTCCTGCGATTCGAACTAGGGACAAATCCCATGAAAACGTCCCGTGGAGACAAGGCCTATAACAAGTCCAAACACTCAAAGGAATTCCAAACACAATACAATGGCGGGAAAATGATATAAATGGTGTACTACGGTAGTCAACTCGCTACCTTCTCTCATTTTCCACTCATGCTTGTTAAAATGGAACGTATTTCAATGCGGAATTGTTGCTAGTTTACTAAAGATAACATGGATAAAATTTGATTCTG